GAAGGTCATAACAGCTGAACACACTATTGTTCGAAGACGCGGGAAGCTAGACCGAAGGATCAAGAAGCGATTTAAGGACCCTTTTCTACATTAACATAGAAAATTTCTGCTTGGGTACCCGGGTACCCCGGTTATTGAAATTAAGTGGAATTTTTGGTTATAGAGACAAGGGTTAAAGGGACTAAGACAGCTGGAGATTCACATCATCGGGTAAACACACGCCAGAGAGCTTTCCGCTCTCGCACCGCACCCTCGATCGATCGAGCACACGCGATCGTGCGATACACCACTGATCGAAACTCAGATCAATATGATCGGAATTCTAGTCTACATACAAATATACGTATATATAGATATCTTCGTTTTATATATGTACATACATACAGAGGATACAGTAACAATAGACGGATATATATTTATATCTTTCCTTTGCAAAAATTGCTTAATTCGGGTTTCACTAAGAACTGCCCTTTTTGCGTAAGAGAATATGGACTCTTCGTTAATTATTTGGTCTCATCGTTTAAAGCTATAATTATCAATGTTTGGAGGTAATTGAATCCTTCGGTTCCTTCGCACGCGCGCGCGTGCAGGTACGTGTGTTTGTGTACGCGTGTACAAAGCCCATGCTTCGATCCATTTTTTTACTATCAGTTTGTTATCCGGAGATATGTTATCAGAATGCTTCTTTTATTCCGTTGGTATTTTAAATTTCTATCTAAAGTGCCGAGAATCGCGAGTTATCACTTTTACAATTTGAAGTATCACGTGCTGTAAAGTTATTACATTTATTGCATAAATATTCAGAGTTCGGCACAACCCGTTTTCAGATAATCTAATCGGTTAATCTTTCTTGAGAGCGGTTAATCGAATAATCTTTCGAAAGAAACGTTCTATACTATACTCTAATCTCGCGAAACTCTATAATCTCGCGAAACTTTACGAGCTCCTTAGTTGTGAATTAAGATTTAATCATGATGCCATCATGAAAAATTTCGCATATTCAGTGTTCTTAGAATTTTATATTTGCACCTGTTTTTATAAAGCATATGTAAAGATTAGTGTTTCTCATGTTGAAGGCAAATATTTCGAGCTTTAAAAGTTTCAGAAAAGAGAAGAAAAAGATGTAAATCAAATAGGACACAAATGGATCTCGGCATAGACTTCTTCGTTAGATATTTTTTCTTAAAAATAATACTCTGGTGAAATTGAAACCATTGCGCCGTCGCCCCTTCGTCGATTAGCGTGTATAGTATGCGAAATATTTATAGATACACGTAATTACGTATGCGTATATGTACATATGCGATATATATTTGAGTATACAATTGTTGTTAGGCGGTTGTCAAGCCGCGTTGTCAAGCCTGGTTCCAAGTCTCCATACGATGTACTCGACACACTCTATGCATTGCCTTCTCGACACCAAAATCTCGAGAGATTACGCGACGCAGACACTATAGTAATCCTTGTCATGCAGCAAAAGAAAATTAATCGTTATTTTCCTTTTTTTTTAAAATGGAAAATAAAGATTACTATATATTTTTTTAATTTGAGATTTTCTGCTAACAGAATCGATTCCAAGATCTTTCGAGCGGAACGGAATATGCAAATTGTCTCATTCGTATATACACACGAGGAATATGAAATTAATTTTTTAATACATTCTATTTGTCTTGCTTGAAAGCTGTATAATGTAATTTTTTTGGATTGAGACATTTAAATTTGCATGTTACTCACGCGTCATTCAATGTACGAGGAAGATCGAACGTTCAACTCGATGCGCTATGTAAGAAGATTTTAGACGTTCTGAGACGTGTTCTAAGGATAAGAAGCGTCGTCCGCATGGAGTGTGTTTTACAATTATTATTTTACGCTTGGTCATGATATTATTTACACGAGTGTGTTACGAGAGAAAGGAACGTACATACAATTTTGCCGTTTGGTCGCAGGGGGGACGCAGCCCGTGGCGAATCAATGGGCGAGATAACGAGGAGGATGCACGATAATCGGCGGCGATCGCGGGAAAGTTGAGATTTCTTTTCTTTTTTTAAATCGATTTTTCTCACGCAGTTTACGTATAAACGCGCTCGCTCGCTCATCCGTTACATTGTAGCCCGGTTAACACGCGCGACAGCGTTCGCGCGAGAATTCCTCTGGGGAGGGACTACCAATCTGGGGATTACCGATTCGGAGCATTCTGCGATTATTCTGAAGATCTATAGTAATATATTAAGATACAATACCCGATGTATAACTATCAGATGCGATAAGAGCTACACCTTAATGACGGCGGGATTGAAGAGGCTGAGATCAGTTATAATATTTCGATGTGTCCCGTTCGCACAACTCTCGCGCGCTGTAATTTGTGGAAACATCAAGTAAATAGATAATCGAACACTAACGCTAGGCGTTCAAGAGTCTGAGAAAGTCGTGTATAGTAAGGCGATGACTGACATTTAGTAAGCCAGATTTCAGTACTGATATTTATAACATTTAAAATCGCATGAAATTTATTTTTCGGAGGTGAAGGTATTAAAATATATATCGTTTTATCGAAAAGCTTTTACCGAGGTCCCAAATTTAATTCTATATACTTGTGCTTCATGTGCGCCATGTTAAAAATATCAGTTTCTGAAATAAACTTCTGTATTGGTATTCGCAATTTAACTATGTATTAAAAGCTTACATTAATATCCTTATATTGTTTCGGACACTTGCACTTTATTAAACTGCAGGTAAAGAATTAGGATATTAATGAGTGAGATATGATGTGTATATACGAAGGACTATTAATTGAACAGAGATACGTACATCTTATTCTTATTAAATTCTCACGATTTCGTCATTTAGAGCTAAAAGTAAAATTTAATCGATATTGATATGTCCCAGTCGATCATTAAGTGAGGGACTGGCAAGTGGGTTCCGCGATTTGTCATGCAGTGCAAGTGTATCCTATAAAAATTGTTGTCCGCGAGCAAAAGTAAGCGCGTGTGATCTGGTTCGATTGGTCCCCGAACTTCACAGTTTGTAAATTACCCGCGCGCGCGTGTGTGATGATATCAAGAATTCAAAGCATTAGAAAGGTATAGAAATCGTACTTTTTGGGATTACAAGGATATGTACAACTTTGCTCGCTATCTTTATTTTACCCTGTAATTACAAATAATGTTATGACGCGTGAAAAAGCTCTCTTCAAGAAATGTGATTAAACAATTGATTTTCGCAAATAGAAGAAGCGGGTGTATTAAAATACTATCGTAATATTAAAATCTCTCCTTCGACTGTTGATAAAATAGTAAGCGCCTAGCGATATTTTACGTCTCGATGTTTGATCTTTTAAGTCATAATACATTAGAATTATTGCTAAATTAATTTTTATTCGATTTAATCTATCTCGGATATTGAAACGAGAATCTTCAGGAATTTAACATATATGTTAGCTGCGTTCTAATAGCTGTCAATAATGTTGGGATAAGAGATGAAGCGTTTGATTTATAATCACGATTTTTATATATTCTGGCCCCTCCTTCCTATGACGATTGGTCCAGTGACGCGAAGTTGCGAAAGTTCGGTAGCGACGAGGCACACGTGCTTTCGCGTAGCAGCGAATTGCGATAATGGAAAGAAGCGAAGATTCTGCTCTCTCTTTCTCTAAAATTGACCCGATAAGGCCCTGACGTTTGCAGAATGCTCCGGATAATCCCCGCGACGACGCTCTCGCGCGAAAAATCTGTCGCACGCGTCATTACACAATCTATATTGTTCCCACGTTGCAGTGAACCCTGATAGGCGGTAAGCCGAGGGGGAGAGAGAAAAAAGTCTTCTCCTCGACATCCTCTCCCTACGGAGAGACGGAACCTCGCGGCTCACCCGCGATTAAGTTCCTTCATCAAAGATACTCTCTAAATCTGAATTAGTGAAAAATCTCTGAAAAGTGACTGATTCAGCCAGTAGTTATAATCTAATCTAACTTAACGCCTTGCATTGTTAATAAATAAGTGAAAAAACAGAGCCGAATCCTGCTGTGCAATTAGCGAGTACAGCAAAGTCCACTAATTTGCATGTCAATGATTATAGCGACTATTCACTTATTTATTAGTAATTTTCGAGAGTCAATAAAGTTGAATTTCATTGATTACCTGTGACATACTTTCGCGATGTTTTATATAATATTTAATTTATAGAAATATACGTAATATATATGTAATTTAGAAGCGGCAGAAGTTCTAATATATACAAAAGCTAATTAATTAAATTTAATAGAACATCCAACTTACAGTACCTATACAGTACCTATACAGTGAAATAAGATACCAATTATCCCGAGAAGATAAAGAACATATATTTCTCATTGATTATTTAAGCTGTTTAATTTTTCTATAAAAAATATCTCGAGAATCATATTACAAACAAACTAAAGAAACAATATAAAGTTTAATGTAAAATTAAAATTTCATGAAATTAACAATTTTTCTTTACACATGTTGCATATTGATTACTAAAAATGATCAATTTAGTCGGATAATTTCGATATTGAAATAATTGGTCTCTTACTATGATATTTATAGTTGTATTCAATTTAATTAATTAAACAGTTAACTTTATACAAAAGAAAAAAATGTTATCATTGTTTCGTAAATTTCAAATTTCAACTTATAAATTTCTCCAATCGTAATTTGAATTTATTCAAATTCTAATATTCTTGCTGGCATCGAAATCATGGAAGAAAATTGTTATTGCGTAAGATAATGACATCGAATCTACCGCACCGATTTAATTGTTAAAATATTTGCGCACTACGATTCTTCTTAGTCTTTTTTCACTTTGGGGGAAATCATTACTATTAAATTATTCCCCGCGGGGTATTTCGTGAAGGGGCGCATAATCCATTGTATTCGCACACACAAGATTCCACATATACACGCATATGTACAATATTTCAAATATTTCAAGCAATACAATGTTATACAATGTTACAATACAATGTTAGCAATACAATGTTATATTATTAATAAATGTGAATGGATAGGCTATGAAAGATCAAATTAAATTGGCGCAAAAATAAATATAATTATGACTATGCACTGATTCAGATTTAGAGAGTATCGTCGCGCTTCCGCGTGTCGCTTAAGTGAAGGAATATATTCGCAGTCGCAGTATAGATGATATCTGGAAGTAGCGGTTTCTTCCAAACCCTCGCTTAAACTCGTAAATGTATATATAATTAGTATATATAGCCAACTTAATTACACGTCAAGATGGATTAATATCATGTATTATTCTTACATCTTAGCGTAAAGTGTGTGATATTGTTTTATAAATTCTTTACTATACTGACATCGCTAATTTCCCCTTATTTACTTCATCTTTTGCCCGACGTCACGTGTCGCAGACGTTTACGACAATAAGTTTCATGCGACATATGACGAAGCTTGGAAGCCTAAAGGAGTTCGGTCGATGATCGAGAGATTTTGTTATGTGCCCTTTTTTTTATATAAACTTAATTATTTTAACTAACATCTTTTAAAATATCAGATCTTCTGGATTTCTTTATCACTAAAAATACTGCTTCCAACTATCTACACGTAAAGCCTGCAACAGACCTATCTTCAAACCATTCACCTACTCACATTAAGCAGCATTGCTGTATCAAACCCTTCGGACTTACTTTAGCAAATAAACATACTAACAAGTGGGGAAAATCATTGAATCTACAGTCAAACTTAATCTACCGCTCAAGACCCTGTCCAAAATAGAATTGGCAGTTGAACATTTAAATAAAACTGTCCAAAATGCAACTTGAATTTTTAAACCACCCATGACATTTCAGAAGCCAACCACTAATCAGTATCCCCTTTTAATAAGAGAAAAAAATTGCTGAATGTAGAAGACTACGTAAACTGGCAAAACACATGTAGTCCTCACCATAAGAGAAACCTAAACAGATGTACTCGGCATTTATCATCCTTAATTAAACAACTTGAAAATACAGCAAAATAAAAACCAAATATTCTCAACCTTTACAGCAGATTTTCATAATCCTTTAAATCTATGGGAATTCGTAGATAACAATAAATTTACGTTCAGCAGCATTCATTGAGAGTAAACCCTCTGGACATTTGGTTGTCCGAATCTTTAATATTTGAATTACTTGATAACGAGTTTTTCAAAATAAGATGTACATTAAGAGGATGTCCAAGAAGACATCGAGTATTACGGCGGATTCATTATAGACGAATATTTCGAAAAATTCGGAACCATCTACATAGATATCATTCGGAACAATTTGACTGGGATGAAGATGATATCAGAGTAGCTGTGGAACATAAGATAGCACATCTTCGCAGGTAATTATATACAATTTAATTGGATGATCAAAATAAAAAAAAATTTCTTTTTTTACTCTTGCCGCGAACAATCATAAGCGTTAAATTTTGAACACAGTCTCCATGATAGTGCAGTGCGTATATAAAGACCTGATTGTCTCGTTGGATCGGGTGACACAATCGCGGTACGCATCGTGTGTGAACACATCGAAGTTATATATCAATTGCACGATCATCGTCGATCTACGACGTCTTAGACATTCCATGCATTGTGCTTTTTCGAAGAGAAATCAGCTTTAGGTCAGTCGATGACCGTCGTTCTTCAAGAGCAGATCTTATAAATATCAGCTCCATTTTAACGTGCATCTTGCGTTAGTTGAAAGCCAAATGAAACGTTTGCTACTGCACAATCGCGAAGAAAAACGGATCGTGATAGTATCAAACAAGTATTGTTTTTTCT